CCCTTAGGGGCAGCTAGGTGGCGCAGTGGGTAGAGCATGGGCCCTGAAGTCAGGAGGACCTGAGTTCAAATCTGGCCTCAGACCTAACACTTGACACGTACTAGCTGTGTGACCTTGGGCAAGTCACTTAACCCTGATTGTCTCATTAAAAAAAAGAAAAAGAAAAAATTTGTATGATAACTTTATTATATATTTAAAAGAAATAGTAAGTTGTACATAATCGATTTTCAGTTTCATGTGCAATCATCTTTTTATTTTACTATGCTATGGAAATGCTTGTTTTATTCCACAAATTAAAATAAATTTTTTTTAGAAAAAAAGGTAAAGCAATTTGTTCAAGGTCATATAGATGACACAGTGATAGAGCCAGGATTCAAACCCAGGTGGTCTGATGACCAATCCAGGGTTCTTAGCACTAAACCAGCTCAGTTCAATACCACCACTTCCCTCTGGGGAGACAAGAAACCTGGCGCCTCCACACCAAATGATTCCACACCTTGGCTCTAGGCATAATCATTCAACTACAGGGGAATTTTTCTTCCAAATCTCTCTTCATAGCTACAGAATAGACCGGAGCTCTCAAACCATTTTTTTCCTCCTAATTTTGAGGGAGGCTCCTCTCATATTTCTGGCACATTTCTCCTTATGTATTTCTTGAGTTTCTTCAGTCCCATATCCTTTACAAAACCAGGGTGTCACAAGTTTCTAATCTCTACTAATCAGGATTTGGGTCATTAAAAACTGCACCTTAATTAAGAGACAATGTGTGCTATAGAGGATTACAGTCGTCATTTCAACATGTTAGTGGGTGGAACAGGATCAAAGTATGATGTCTCAAATATCTAGGTTACCAATAACAATCCAGTTCCTGTGGTCAATCAAAAAAAGAAAGAAAGAAAGAAAGAAAACATCAACATAGATTGTTTTCACATACCTCATTGGTGCTATCAAGGACATGGACTTCACCTGTTAATTTCCTACCCATTCTTCATAGCCAGCTCAAATTCTACCTTGTCCAGGAAGCCTTTCCCTGAACTCCCTGGTTTCCCCCTTGGACTGAATGATTGGATTTGTTCTACAATCCACTAATACTCTCATGTATTATTATATACCAGAGTTGTCTACATTTGTGTTATATCCCCTCTTTCTAGACTGTGAAGCTACTTAATAGAGCAACCATATTTTATCTACATTTTTATTTCCCTCATCCCATTGCACAATGCTCTACATATATATTTAAATGTTTATTGAATGAATCAATAAATGGATTGATGGATGATTTGATTTGTTTTTTTCTAGTAGAGTAGATTGTTTTTCTCTGAGTCATCCCACAAATATTCCTGGTCTTCCTGCAACCAAGGGCAAATATTTGCTGAACATCTGGCCAAAGCTAGGAGTCTGGGGGTCCCAGGAAACAATAACATCAATTAAATAGCTGGGGTTTAGTACAAAGAAGATGTGCTTGGGAAAGCAAAGTTAACTGGCCCACAGTGGAATGAAACCCATATCCTGAGCTTCTTCAAGAGCCAATGTGGTGCCTTGGATTTGTTACAAGAGATTTATATTCAAGTCCTGGTCTTTACATTTATTAGCTGCCTGACTACTGACAAGCCATTTCACTTTCCAAACCTCAGTTTCCTCACCTGTAAAACTGGGGGGGGGGGTGAACATTTGCACTCTCTACCTCAGAGTGTTACCTTAGTTCAAATCCTGCCTCTGAAACTCACTGGTTATATGATCCATGACAAGTCACTTAAGTGGAGGAAACTGAAGCATTTCTTCTTCATGTTTAAAATGAAAATGATATATATAGTACCTACCTCACAAGGGGGCTGTCAGACACAAGATAATAAAAAATGTTTTTTCAAACTTTAAAGCCCTATTTAGAAATTAGTGTTAATCATCTCAGTCATCAGCATCATTATTATTACTAAAAATGAGAGTTAGCAGTGAAAGAACCAACCAGGGCAAATGGAAGGATATAGCCATCTACCTCCTAAGAGATAAATTGTCCCCAGGAATAAATCAAGGCTATGGTTGGTGCCCCTTCCTAACCTCAGCCAGCCAACACCATTGTCTGGGTACACACTTCATGGGAAGTCCTGTATTGACTGTGGAATGAAATACAAACCCAGAGGAGACCCAATCCCTCTTATTACAACAGAGAGCTTCCAGTCTAGTAAGATAATGTGTATGTGGAACAATCATTGGTAAAAAAAAATAATAATAATAATAACAGAAAATGAGCTCTCTTCCAAAGTGATTGTTGTGAAGCAGTGCAGTGACTGGACCAATCCTGACAAATTAAGGGTCTTCTTCAAATCCTCCTGGTGTGAGGTAGAGGGAAGTGAGGAACTTGTAGAATCTCAGAGCTAGAAGAAATCTTGGGGATTCCATATAACTTTTTCACTTCACAGATGAGGAAAATGAGGACTATCTAAGATAAACTATTTGCCCAGCATCACATAGCAAGTAAATGGCAGAGCTAGGACTGGTACCTGGGTTTCCTGCCTCCCAAGCCAGGCTACCTCTTTGACCTCTGTGATGCTGTCAAGGCCCAAAAACACACTAAGAACCTTGGGTCAATAGCCTAGCAAGCTCCTCATGCCATTCGTTCCTTGCCAGATCTTTCAGAAACAATGCCTGCCATCCTCCCTTGTTGACCCTTGCTGGCATCATTGCATCAGGAATGGAGCCAAGTCACCTGCCAGGCTGCACATTTCAAGAATCTGAAGTGGTCCACCCTATGCCTTCATTGAGGGGGAGGTGGGGCCCCATAGCAGGAGCGGTCACGTAGAGAGTGGCTCACAAATGCAAATGAGGAATCAGGCAGAGTATAAAAGGCTCTGGAACCGAGTGTTCCTCACACAGCTCAGCTAGCTTCTCTTCTTGCTTATCCCTCTTGGTGATCCAGGTAAGTGAGAGCCTTGGGCTTGCTGATCTGCCTCCCATGGGGCTTGGTCAGCTTCAATCTTTTGGCTTCTGCCTCAAGTTATAGTAACTGGACAGGGCCAGAGATTCTTCAGGCCTTCTGGGGAGGGTCAGATCCTGCTCTGTCTTTGCCAGACCCTGTAAATCCATAACTGTAGATTTACTCTTTGAGGGGGAGAAGGGATATCTAAGGACATCTCTTGTCCCCAGGGAGAGGGGAACGAGAGAAGGGGAGAAAGATTTGGCATTGATGTCTCCTCAGAAAAGGCATCCATCAGTACTTGAGGCAGAACTGGGATTTGAGCATCCCCAAATGCCTCCAGAAGGCATTAAGTGGAAAGGACACTAGGCTTTATCAGAATCCCAGCTCTTGTCTTGGCTCAGAGACTTATGAGCTTTGTGGCCTTGGACAATTTTATTTCTCAGTTTCTTTACTTGTAAAATGAGGTCATTTGAGCTAGAGGATTGCTAAGGTCCTTTCCAGCTGTATGGTGCTACAGTTATGGCCCTCCCTGACCATTTTTTAATCTCAAAGAATATGGTCTCCTCGAAGACAAGGGCCATAGATGTCTTGTACTCTCAGAGTGCTGAGCATCAAGGAGTTGCTTAGCAGCTCCTTAGGAATTAGTTGATTGAGGGAGAAGAGTTTGTGTGTGGGTGTATCAGGTCTTCTACATCTACAGTGAGGAGAGCCACCCCGAGGCTACTCTCCTAGACTGAAACTTCCCTTCCATTTCAGGTTTATGGAAATAGATTACAGCACACCAAGTGTGGATTTCAGCCAATCACATTTAGGTTAGAATCCCTAGCTTCCTTCTAAAGCATACTTCAGGTACCAGCTTCTCCAGGAGGCCTTTGCTGATGCTCCTTCCTAAATTAAGTGCTTTTTTCTCTCTCTTAAAATTGCTTTATATCATTTCATATATACTTTACATTGACTTCATTATGAACATATTGTATTCTCCCTCCAATGCAATAGAATGTAAGCTTTTTGAGTGAAAGGTTGTTTGGGTGTCAGCTTTTTTTCTCCTCCTCACCTCGAATGGTGCCTTGCACTTGGTAGGTACTTAATAAATGCCTGCTGAATTGATTAAAATTGAATTTATGGACAGAGGTCCAAAAATTCTGAGGCTGAATGGAAGTGGGAGGAGCAGAAGTCACTGAGGTCATCTCCCTATTTCTAGGTGAGACCACAACAAAACCAACTTCCTCTGACATCTGCATCCTAACTTTCTAAGCCTCAAACCATCTAGAACAAGGTTCTAGGCCCAAAACCTGTGGTATCCCAGGCTCCTATGGCCTCTTAAAAAGAGTATGGAAATAGGAGTCAGGAAGATGGATTCAAATTCTGCCTCTGACAGGATTTGTGGGTGGATATGAATAGGTCACAATCTCTGGGCCTCAGTTTCCTCACCTGTAAAACAGAAATAATCATGCTTGTAGTGCCTACTCTTACAGGGTTGTTTTGAGATTAATACAAGTCAAGTGTTTTGCATGTATTATTTTCATAGTAGGCTATTTTTATTATTGTCTATGGTGGAAAAAGTTCTGGATTTGGAGTAAAAAAAAAAAAACAGATAAATTACCAACTCAACTACCTGTGCGGTTCTGGACAGACTACTCTCCAGGCTTTGATTTCCTCACCTTTTAAAATTAGGAAGTTGCACTAGATCTCTAAATCCCTTCCAGATATAATTCTCTTATGAAATGACCACACTGACTCCTGGAAAAGTCATAACCTTCCAGGAAACTTCATTTTGGTAATCTGAGTGGCATTGCCCCCCAAGGTTTGGGATAACTTCTTACCACACTCGTTTAGAGCCCGGTGCTTTTTCCGAGAGACCCCAATTAGCTGCTCTCAAACCAGCAGCCCCCTTCAGCCTGAAGCCTCCGGTCCGATTATTTTTCTCTTTCTTTCCAAGCTCTTCATCCCCTGCTACTGAGAAGATGTCTTACCAGAAGACCCAGCCCACACCCCAGCCCCCAGTAGGCTGTGTCAAGGTCTCCCGCGGCGGCGGCGGCGGCGGCGGCGGCGGCGGCAGCGGCTCAGGCGGCGGCGGATCCGGCTGCGGCGGCGGTAGCAGCGGCGGTGGCGGCGGTGGCGGCGGCGGCTACTGCTACTCCAGCGGCGGCGGCTCAGGTGGCGGTGGCTCCGGCTGCGGCGGCGGTAGCGGCGGCGGTGGCAGCGGCGGCTACTGCTACACCAGCGGCGGTAGCTCAGGCGGCGGAGGATCCAGCTGTGGGGGAGGTAGCAGCGGGGGCGGCAGCGGCGGCGGCAGCGGCGGCTACTGCTATACCAGCGGCGGCGGCGGCTCCGGCAGTGGCGGTGGCTCCTCCTACTATCCCAGCCAACAGAAGTACTCGGGCAGCAGCGGCGGCGGCGGCGGCGGCGGCGGCGGCTCCGGGGGCAGCGGGGGCGGCTACAGCTGCGGAGGCGGTTCCGGGGGCGGCTCTAGCGGCGGCTCCAGCTGCGGAGGCTACTCCGGCGGCGGCGGCGGCTCCGGGGGCAGCGGGGGCGGCTACAGCTGCGGAGGCGGTTCCGGGGGCGGCTCTAGCGGCGGCTCCAGCTGCGGAGGCTACTCCGGCGGCGGCGGCTCGGGCTGCGGCGGAGGCTACTCCGGGGGTGGCGGGGGTGGCTCCAGCTGCGGAGGCGGCTCCGGGGGCGGCTCTAGCGGCGGCTACTACTCCGGCGGCG